GATCCTTGATATTTGAGATTACAACTGAAAATTGCGCGCTCATGGTTTCAACACAAAAAAATGAACTCCTACATASTCCGAAAAATAGAAACACTTGATTGACTAAACTCATTCGTAAAAGGTATTATACTTTGAGTGGTTGAAGAATATTGTAGACTGCATGAATTTGTTTAAAAGAAATCGCGCCTTCTTCGAAACTGCTTGAACAACCTAACCGGCGGCAGCATTCAACCGACTCAGACAACCGACTAGTTTAAACCAGAGGTCAGTAAGGTTACCAAGTACCAGTCAAATCCTGAGAACTCGGTATCGGCATCGGTATTGAGGGATATGATGTTGGGCTGGATCCGGAACGAAATCATTGTCATGAAATTTAGCCAGAACTTCAAAGGGGTTTTTCGAGAGGCCAAGTATAATTCCAGGTTCCCTCCACAAAGTGTTTTCTAAGCATACAATTCAGTGAGTTTGCGCCGACCGGAGAAATTGTAAAACGGGTCAAAATAGGCGCGCTACAGATTGGGGGGAGAGTTGGGGAATGTGAGCCTCTCCTCTTGGTTCTTCCTCGTACAGTTGAATATTGGCGGCACTCAGGGAAAGCATCCTAAAATCTAAGAAAAGGGTTTTTGTCAAGAACCTACAGCGATTTCAGTGTAAATGTGTGGCCGTCAGTCTTGCAATTCCGGCAGCTACATTGTTCGCAAGGGAAGTGTCTTGGGCTATCGGGAGAGCCAAGGATACTGGCCATGCAATCGTTACCGATAGATTGCGAGAGRAACTGGAGCATTAGGTCGTGGACACGTGGAGTGATTTTCTACCGTGKCAAGACTAAAAGCACGTGCGGTTGTCGGTCTCCACAGATGAATTGCAGTATGTGTTGTTTGGTTCATTTACCAACTGGAACAAGGCATTTCGAGACTTGTGGAAATYGGAGCATATGGCATTGAATATYTCAYCTAAGGARGTGTTGGYGGTAATTTTGGTATCAAGGCTCGTCCGTTAGGAGTTAGGAACTRTAGACTGGACGCGCAAGTGTCAATATCATTGATACATTGGAAGGTCAAGGAAGTCGTAGTTAACGAGAACTTACAGGGATTTGTAAGGAGTTGTTCTCTGTACTGTCAGAGCGCAATCTACAGCTCAAGTTCCTCATGTGTCTTCTGCTCACAATGAGGCAGATGGATAATCGAGGGTACTAAGTCCCCTGGATTCAACGTTGTCTGGGAAGGCGTGGAAAATAAATAATAAATAAATAAATAGAGGGCACATGGAGGGGAACGAGGACATACATTCGATCTGATGGCCCTGGACTCCAATGCCTATGTTAAACCCTGCGGTAGTAGCATCAAGATTGACGGATTTGGATTCGTGAACTTGACAATCCTACGAGGGCTGTGGAATATAATTCGCTGACGACTAAATAATCGACTAGCTATTTGTGTTCTCACTCACTCGTTGAGCAGTCTAGAGTTGTAATGTAGTGATCAATAAAAATGCTGAAGGGCGGGTTGTAGATTCTGGCTGAGGTGTCTTGGGGGGAGGGGGATTTTAAGGATTGGGAGAGAGCCAATGGGTCTTTGAGATCCCCGTGTACGGGTTTGGGTTCTGGAGGGCTTGTACCGGGCCAGGGTTTAATGAGGTAGGGGAAGGCCAGGTGGATATCCCCATACCTCATTAATAACAATGGATAGGGTAGAATATTATACTAATCCTCAATTGTACTTTCAGAAAAACAACATAATTTCGATAAACAGACAGATGAGATAATTGATATGTTACGCAAGCCGTACGATTATGGGAGTGTTATGCATTACGGTGGGCTATACTTTTCGAAAAATGGAGAGCAAACCATAATTCCACGTCATCAAAGCGGAGATGCATTGATTGGACAGAGAGAACGTATAAGCATGACCGATTTTTATGAGATCAATGCTATTTATGATTGTTCAGGTACTGTCACTAATAAATCTAATTATTAACTACACTGTAAAAAATGCTTGGTTAAGATAACCAATAAAAATGTTCGTAACAAACTGAAACAGTATTTGGTTGTTTTGACCAAAAGTATTATATTTGGTTGAAACGAGATGATCAATTTCAGTTCTTGTCACTGTAACCATTTCTATTAGTTGTTTTGTGTATAACTTTTTTTCACTTTTGGTTGACATATAACTATTAGAAAATTGGTTATAAAAATCAATAGATAGTTTTAAACATTCTTAAAATGAATTTTAGCATTATCAGGTTTATGCCGGCAGTTTTTACTGAAAAATTACTAATGGTTGATCGGATAATCAGTTTTTGAGGTGGTTGTTTTTAACCAATTTAATTTGGTTAAAGCTAACAACCTATATATAACCAACTAATTATTAGCCAACTAATTACGCTAGTACACTAGTACGCTAGTACACCGGAACGCTAGTAAAGTAGAACGCTAGTAAGCTAGTACGCTAGTACGCTAGTACGCTAGTACACTGGAATGCTAGTACGCTAGTATACGGTAGAACGCTAGAAAGCTAGAACGCTATTAGTATACTGGAACGCTAGCGCTAGTAAACTGGAACGCTAGTACAGTAGAACGCTGGTACGCTATTACGCTAGAACGATAGAACGCAAGTACGATAGTACGCTAATACGCTAGAACGCTAATACACTGGAACGCTATAACGCTAATACAATATTGCGCTGGTATGCTAGTACGCTAGTATAGGCTAGTACGCTTACACTACTACTTGCATATAAATGTATAACTCATATATTAGTTGTCCGCTTCTAACAGTGCTTTCAAACAATGGTTACCCTCGTATCAGTACCACTTTTTATTTTTATCCCTTTTTTCGGGTATAATGGTACGCTGTTCGGCGTAACAAGGCTTTTTTTCAGGAGGAGGAATATATCTGTTCTTATGTCCCAGCCAGCAGTAATTCACAACTGGTTGCAAGCGAGAAATTCAGGGAAAGAGAACTCTCCAGGCAGTGAACACTATCTAAGAATTTTTGCCAGGAAAATAAAACTTTCCTAACTAAAAATAATAAAAGCCGTTTTTGACCATAAAAACGTTATATAAACCTTTTTTGACCTTAAAAACGATTGCCAGGAACAAAAAAAGGGCGCCACATTAATTTGTTGCTTGCCAACAATGTAGCTCAAAATCCCTTTCCCAGGAAAAAATTCGTACAAGAACAGTTATTCAGAAGAACAGACCCCGTCAGCTCCTCCTGTTTTTTACTTATGAGGCGCAGGATATTTTGTGCGTGGTATATCAGGGGCCTTAGAGGATAAATCATGCATTTGTACCTATTTCTTAAAGAACAATATCGGCCTTTGCAATAGGAAGAAATGATATCCAGGTCAATGAAAATTAGTTTAGCGACGGTCTTTCCTCCAGATAAGCCGAAAGAAGTATCAATAGTCTCCTTCACGGTTACTTGCGCCATCTTGAAATGTAGCCGTGCCTTTGCATCTAATCTAGACGACCGTTGAGCGTGCAATGACAGAAACATTCTTTCACACCTACAGACAGTTATTCACAGGTTTCTATCATTGCACGCTCAACGGTTGTCTCGCTTCGATGTAAGGCAAGGCTGCCTTTCAAGATGGCGCAGGTAACCGTGAAGTAGACTATTCGTTCGTGAATCTCAACGTTTTTGGATATGCTTTGGCAAACGCGCTTTACGAATGAATGGTTGTGTAAAAAGATAAAGTGAACGCCGTAAAAAAAGTAGGTGAATTAGTAACTTACTGACGTTTCGGACGTTAATCCGACGAAGGATTAACGTCCGAAACGTCAGTAAGTTACTTCACCTACTTTTTTACGGTGTTCAATTTTCTTTTTACACAACTGTTTCTTTAGAAACACGGACGCAGCTCACACTAGTTTACCGCTAGTTCTCAAATTACGAATGAATGACCAAAGATAATGACTTTAGGAACTCAACCAGCCATAATCAAATAAATATGGGTGAAAAAATACAAATGCGAGTGAAGCGTGAAATTAAAAACAAACAATATTACACAAAAAATATGTACCCACTGTAGTTCTTACATAAGGCAATTAAGTAAGCAATGAATAGTCATCAACAGATAAACTGTGAAAAAAAGAGAAAGTAAACCTTCAAGACTTTTTCGGCTGGATAGCAGCGTGCGAAATGATGTATGCTAACTCCTCGTGCTGCATCCTGTAAGGGGTTTCTCAGCATTGAGACCCTTCAACCCCATATTCCAATGACGTAATAATATATAAAATTACTTTTTGATTTATCTAATAATTTTTAACAACTAAAAGGAATTTCATGAAAACATAAAAACACTATTTTCATGCAAATATTTCATATAATGTTCACAACAGTTTTACAGCTGAAACTACTCTAAAAATTAAGGTTATAGAAATGAAACTGTTATACTAAAATAGTTGTACCTTCAATCTAACATAGGATCCTAAATAGCTTTTTAGTTTGTCTAACCAATTATTCATGACATTGATTAGAAGGTTTAAGCGTCAGGCAGTTGAAAAAATCGTCGGAGCAACCGCAATTTCAATTGATACAACAAGGGAAATGCAATAAAGACCGAAAGAACTAAACGTAAGGCAGTCGACTTTTTTTGCGAAAAGTCGTCGGAACAACTGTAACTTCGATTAATAGCACTGATAAGAAAAATGGAAGAAAGACCGAAATAAGGGTCTGTTGTCAAACATTAGTATTGCTAAGTATTGCTCACTTTATATATTTGATATATTTTGTTTGTCTTCGTTGTTGTGGCTATTTAGCCAAATACTGTGAACCAATTATTATTGTTAACTGCCGATCAAATATCCTAATCGTTATACATTCCAAACGAAGAAACAATGGTCTTATAATTATAGGCCCTGTACCATCTTTCACTGGCTGCTTGGGGGGCAATGATAAATTGTTGTGCTTATGTTTGAAGGGGGACGGTCTGATACAGGTAGGGTTAGAAAATTTCACTTCCACAACTGGTATGTCACCTTATTCCCAGACGTACCCACTTTTCAATTTCCACCACCTCTTCCCACTCCTAATTTCTGACAAGACCCTTATTTCGGTCTTTATTGCATTTCTCTTGTTGAATCAATTGAAATTACAGTTGTTCCGACGATTTTTCACACAAAAAGATCGACTGCCTGACGTTTAGTTCTGGGACTAAACGTCAGCCAGTCGGAAAATCTCAAAGTGTCGTGCTTGTGTTTGAAGCTTGTGGAAAAGTATTATTTCGGTCATTATTGCATTTCCCTTGTTGTATTGATTGAAATTACGGTTGTTCCGACGATTGTTTAAGAAAAAAAAATCTACTGCCTGACGTTTAGACTCTCCGTATTTGTCATTAATATGAATGTCATTGGAGAATCAAAGCCCATTAAAGCTTTTATAAATGAAGTGACGTTTGAACAATTATTAACAATTATTTTTTTCCCGCCAATTTGCAGGACCATCCCATGGTTGGAATGCATGGAGTGGATTTGGACCTTGTGATTTTAGTTGCATCAAACAACGTGAACGGTACTGTGCTGAATCTGATAGAGATAATTGTCCTAACGCAAATAAACATGGGGTAGAAATGGATGAGCAGAAATGTTCCATAAATGAATGCTATGGAATAGGTGAGTCAAAGTCAGCCTTCTCGACGTGTATACACCTTGCACCTTATATTCCTGTATAGTTTCCTGCTTATTTAAGACTACAAACTTGGACATAAATACTTGACAGTTTTTCGCTTGGGTATTACAAATACTGTATCACGTTCATCTGAAATTATTCCCCGTCCCTCTCCTCCCTCCTGCATCAATGTTGCATGCAGGTGTTAATGAATGGCAAATGAAAAGAAAGCCACACACCATTGTATTGGGGGGATTGGGGCACAAGGAATAAAAAGTGGTATACACATTTATTCAATTTTTCATGGACCGAAACAGGGTTCCCGCGCGTACGCTTCCCTCCCTGCGTCCGTATACCACCCCCGGAAATCCAGTCTCCGCTCGAAAAGAAAAAAACAAAACTTTTAAAATATATAATGAAACATTTTATTTTCTTATTTTATTTTAATTTTAATTAATTTTATTAATTAATTTTCATTATGGTAAAGTCTTGTAACTCTATGAGTGTAAAGCGCGCGCTCTATAACAGAGCGCGCGCACAACATTTGAAAAACAAAATCAACCATTTTGTAAACGTACAAAATCCGGATTGAAAAGGCTTAATAAAGCGAAACTGGTCTCCGTAAAATTCCTGGTTTAAATGCTTTTGAAAGACAGAAGAACAAAAGTTAAAGGACATAAACAATGAAAATCAATAAACTTTGTAACAAAAGTACTTACATTCAGAGACTCATTGGTGGTATTACTTTTTCTCTCGGCCCTAATCACTACAAGAAATAGGTTGATGTTTCATCTTTTTGCCGCCATTACGCCGGCCATTTTGAATGTTATTCCCTTCCTCATTAAATTTAGGTCACGTGGTACAAATGACGTCACTTGAGGGGGAGCAAAATCAGAAGTTTTGAAATGTTATTGCGCTGTTGTGCCTGTGTTTATTGTGAAGGATTTTTATATAATTTATTGCCGAAGATATGGAGGAAATTCATTGTAATCAGCAGAGCGAGGTCTTGCCTTATCAATTCGAGCCGGTATTTACAAYAGATAATGSCGAAAATGATTCAAACATTGATTCCGAGGAGAGTCAATCGTCAGAGTCAGAAAGTGAAGTTGCACTGGAAGTAGAGAATGCCTGGCGACTTCAAACCCTAGATTGGTGTAAATGTGGCGAATGTACCCTCTCCATAGGGCATCGAGTGTTTTTGTTGCCACGAGAAAGCTGTCGAGTACGATCAGTACGATGGTTTGCTTAGTGAAGCGGAAGCCATAAAAAGGTCTCCAGTGTATCACGGCTCTTTCCGACTTCAAGGAAAACATGCTCTCCAAATCGGTCCTTAAAATCGATACTTGCCGTTATTTGGAGGAAAATTGGCCTCTAGGAGACGAAGAACTGGGGAAAATTCATAGAATTTATCGTCTAGTTTCTTATCATCGCTGTTCCCGATGGATTTTTCAGATTTTGGGGAAAAAAGTACGTCGTCCATTCCCAKCAKGTGTCTATTCTAAAATTCGAACAGCATTCGCTTCTCCAAATGGATTGTACACACACTTTAAATACCCATCAAAGAAGAAAAAGTAAATATACTTCTTAGTAAGTAGCATATTTTCAATATGATTTGAATATGAAGATTCAGAGAAAAATATTACATGCTCTTGGCAGTCATTATGTGATAACTACCACAACACATGCACAAGTGCATGGTATCTGTGAAGAACACCGTACATTTATAACACAGTCAAAGCAATACTAGAAAATACAAATMCTCATAAAACAGAGTGTTGCTTTATTTGTCTCGGTTTTTACATTTATCTTCCCTACAAGTGCATTGGCTTCCACATTCTAACTCATTCTTAGTATAGTTTACAACATGAGTGGCCGTGTTGTATGGGAATTACAATCTCGAGCCGCAAAAATATCATAATATCCATATCCACATATTGTCCGGAACACGAGGGTTTACTAGAATAATTCATTGTTTACATCGAGAAAATGTTCAGAACTACGGATAAGTCTGTCGCCAAAAAAAACTAAACAATAAAGACAAGGGACTAAGGCCATCGCGCGGGATCATGCACTTGATATTATGATATTTAGATATTTCAACAATTCTCATAATTTTTGCAAAAGGCTGTAAATTGAAGAAAAAGGCACACAACTTGCAACTAGTATTTCCACTCTTTATTAGAACGTCTCGGCACTTCGGCCTTCTTCAGCAAACTCTATATATATATATTGTTTTACAAAGTTTATAATTAGCATTACTCACAGCTTCTTGAAAATAACACATTCCAGCGAGATTTTGGTAGTTATCTTGATACAATTCCTTTGGATAAATCAGGTATGTTGGTTATCAGGTTTATATGCGATAAAAATTACAATGGAGGGAAAAATATAGCCTCCTCCGCAGGCATCACTAAGAATCACGGGCTTCCTGTCTTTTTGATGAGTCAAAAGAGGGAGAATGGGGGCGAGAAAAGGGGAGCGTGTCCGCTGTCCTTGTTGTACCAGCCACTGCTGTCTCGCCAGGAACGTTATTCATTAACCGGATTAAAATCACTTTGCCCTGGCCGAACACCAAWAGASACAGGGGMAGGCAATAACTAGCGGCCCCTTTGACCACTCGTCTGACTCACTAATCGGATTAAGTTGACAGGACCTAGGGACACTGATGACAGATTAGTCCTGGCCGAGCGAGTCTTCGTAGGCCCGAATGTGACCTCGTCAGAGGTCGGGATTTGAACTAAAACGCTCTCGTCTTGAGGATGGTCAAAACTATCGCCATTTAAATGGACAAAGTGTCTGGCCAAAATCTAAGTTCAAGTCCATTTGGAAGAAACCGAAATGAAAGCTAAATGTCAGTCGTAAAGCACCGTTAACAAACAAGTTTATGCGATTGACACTTTGAATATAATGCTGCTTAACAAGCTTTAGAATGTACTGTTTCTATTTCTCAATTCAACGTTTTTAAACACGAATTCAACACACTCACATTTTAGTTTCATATGTAACAAAAATTATTGACGAGCGCTTCGCTCAACTTTTAGATGACTTTCGATTCGAAACCCGACGAGTTATAAAACATCGCGACGGTAGCGTATTT